CCCCTGTTGCTCTATCGACGTACTCCTTCCTCCTATATATACGTAGTACCCCCAAACTACCAGATACGGAGCCAAAACCCTAATTCCACTGCCGTAACTTTCTGTATCCACGAGATCCCATCTTGGGGCCTGTTCCGGAGCTCTGCCGGAGGGGGCATCGATCACGGAGGGCTTCTACATCAACATCATAGCCTCTCCGATGAAGTGTGAGTAGTTTACTTCAGACCTACGGGTCCATAGTTATTAGCTAGATGGCTTCTTCTCTCTTTTTGGATCTCAATACAAAGTTCTCCCCTCTCTTGTGGAGATCTATTCGATGTAATCTTCTTTTGTGGTGTGTTTGTTGAGACCGATGAATTGTGGGTTTATGATCAAGTTTATCTATGAATAATATTTGAATCTTCTCTGAATTCTTTTATGTATGATTGGTTATCTTTGCAAGTCTCTTCGAATTATCAGTTTGGTTTGGCCTACTAGATTGATCTTTCTTGCAATGGGAGAAGTGCTTAGCTTTGGGTTCAATCTTGCGGTGTCCTTTCCCAATGACAGTAGGGGCAGCAAGGCACGTATTGTATTGTTGCCATCGAGGATAACAAGATGGGGTTTATATCATATTGCATGAGTTTATCCCTCTACATCATGTCATCTTGCTTAAAGCGTTACTCTGTTCTCTTGAACTTAATACTCTAGATGCATGCTGGATAGCGGTCGATGTGTGGAGTAATAGTAGTAGATGCAGGCAGGAGTGGGTCTACTTGTCTCGGGCGTGATGCCTATATACATGATCATACCTAGATATTATCATAACTATCCTCAATTCTGTCAATTTCTCAACAGTAATTTGTTTACCCACCGTGAATACTTATGCTCTCGAGAGAAGCCACTAGTGAAACCTATGGCCCCCGGGTCTATCTTCCATCATATTAATCTTCCAATACTTAGTTATTTCCTTTGCCATTTATTTTACTTTGCATCTTTTATTTCTCTTTATCATAAAAAAATACCAAAAATATTATCTTATCATATCTATCAGATCTCACTCTCGTAAGTGACCGTGTAGGGATTGACAACCCCTTTATCGCGTTGGTTGCGAGGATTCATTTGTTTGTGTAGGTGCGAGGGACTCTTGCGTGGCCTCCTACTGGATTGATACCTTGGTTCTAAAAAACTGAGGGAAATAATTACGCTACTCTGCTGCATCACCCTTTCCTCTTCAAGGGGAAACCAACGCAAGTGCTCAAGAGGTAGCAGATGCCGCCTTGCCGGAGGTCAGGGGCACAAACTCTCCCGGAGGTCTTGGCCGGTGTCGTGGACGAAGCACGACACTGAAGAGGAGATGAGGAGAGGTGGGGCCGGTGGTGGGCTTCTGGCCGCGGCGACGTGAGCTAGTAGATTCGGCGTGGTCTACTGCATACTTTGTGGGTATCAAACATCACTTTATAACTGGGTGATCATAAAGGTGTTTTTCAGGTATCTCGAAGCTATTTGTTGGGTGCATGGATCTAGTGGGATTTTTCACGCCATGTGACGGAAATATATCTCTGGGCCCTCTCGGTAATACAACATCATATGAAATTTTCAAGCATGTGACTAATGAGTTTAGTCACGGAGATCTTGTACTACGGAATGCGTAAAGAACTTGCCGGTAACGAGAATTAAGTAGGTATAGCAATACAGATGATCGAATCTCAGGCAAGTGACATATCGCTGGACAAAGGGAACTGTATACGGGATTGTTTGAATCCTTGACATCATGGTTCAAACTGATAAAGATCTTCATTGAATATGTGGGAGTCAATACGGGCATCCAGCTCCTGTTATTGATTATTTACCAGAGAAGAGTCTCGGTTATGTCTACATGTTCTCGAACCTGTAGCTAGGGTCACACACGTAATGTTTGGTAACGCTAGGGTAGTATTGGGATAATTATGATGCTTAGTCCGAAGGTTGTTCGGAGTCCGGAGGTAAAGATTTATATATAGAAAGTTGTTATCGGGGTTTCGGAAAAAGTTTAGTTTTTTTCGGTATTGTGTTGGGAAGGTTCCGAAGGGGTCCACAAGTGGGTTCCACCAGCCCCATAGGCCAACATGAAATGTAGAGGACGCCTTGGCCTTATTAGGCCAGGCGCACCAGACCCTACCTAGCCCATGTGGCCAGGGATGGGGAAACCCTAAGGGCGGGAGGCGCCACCCTAGCCTAGGAGGGAAAGGCACTTCCCTTGGCCGCCACCCCTCCCTTGGAGGAGAGCTAGGACTGGCCGGCCCCTCCCTCACCCCTATATAAAGAGGAGAGGGGCGCTGGGGCTGGCCACTCCAAACCCTAGCCGCCTCTCCCTCCCGTTACCTCTCCTCCTCCTCACACGAAGAGACAATATACCAATATGTTGGATTTTTCTAATTCAGCATACATGCAATGTCTGACGAGACAATTAGAAGCAAAACGAACAAACTACGATATCGATATAGGATGAGCTATATATGCAAAAGAGTGTCACTTGAAGAACATGCATACCAGAGTGTCATTTCCGCTGGTTTGAAGCAAGCATGGCAATGAGCTCGTACAAAACAGAGGGGTAGGTCGTAGCTATATGCCCCAGCCATCAGTAGCCATTAGTGTCTGCAAACACGAGGGAGATAGGACTTGGATAAACTTCAAGCATGCCTCCTTCAATCCATGGCGGTGGTGCTGCTCGGCTAGAGCAAGAGTGGACACCACCGAGCTCACACCTACATGCTCACACAACTGCTTTTCACATATGAACTTGAGCCGCTGGAGATTGTATCTGTCTACCGCCACAAACAAGTCTTGCAGCCATTGCAGAAGCATTTCATCCTCTACCGCCTCTTCTTGTGTTGGCTCCGCAACTTCTGACATTTTCTTGTCCACAACTTTCTCTACTTGTCCTTGTTCCACAACTCGTGGCATTTCATCCTCCTCCATGATGTCCTCCATCTCAGGAGAAGAGTCTGTGTAGATGAAGCAAAGCAAAGCCCTAAACACTTTAGTTTCCATATTTGTGATGTGTATGACATTGGACGTAGCGGTGCCAAAGAGGTGCGCCATGAACACTTCAGACCTGGCAGCGAGCACACACCGGTGTGCAGCGAACGTCTTGCCGCCGACCTCGAATGTCACATCAGCACCCACCTTATTCCGAAGGAGATCGCTAAAATGTTGGTGCATGTCAGGCAGGAGAACCTCGGTACCGGTGCCGGAGCCAATGGCATCTGGCGTGTTGTCCTTGCACACCACAATATCACACCGGATGGTGAAACAATCAGACTTTAGACTGGCCGATCGCTCAAGGGCAGCTTCTCTCATGAACTTGTCGCAACCCCAACAAGGTCACATCTGCGGAAGTCATGGGTTTTACGAGTCGCACGGATGTACGTCGGCATCTGCTTCTCGACGTCATCGACGAGACTGAAACTGAACTTGGCCTCCACACCCTCTTCGACATATTCGTCATATAAATGGGTAATATCGAGCGAAATGGAGTCGGCACAGTTTGGGTTTGCGCCATTAGGATAGTACTCGATGGAATACTCATGGCCTCCCACCCTGAACAATTCAGTGCACCAGCTCTCGCCGTTGGGCAACTCTTTTTTTATACCAGAGTAGCCCTTGACCATGAGCAGGTGTTACACGCTGCTCGCGCCGGCACTGGCGCGCGCCGACGCCCGACGTTACGCAAGAGCACGGCTTGTCGCCGTCAAGGACGGACACGCCGGCGAACGTCGACATGACAAACCTGCTGCGACCACACCGAAAATCTGCCAACTCAGTCACAGTTCTCCATTCCTAAGTTTAAGAGTTGGGAGCTTGGACCAAGGATCTGGGGAACAAACCTGGGCTTGCACCGGAGGCCTCACGGAGTCGCCACCGCAAGAAGACGATGCTGCACCACCCCGGAAAGAGAAACAGAGTTTGCGGCAAGCTCCGACGCCGCTCCGCCCTGGAAACAGAGCTTTGCGGCAAGCTGAGGGGCGAACCTGCTCACCGCCCGCTGCCCCACCCCGTGATGCACGTGGTCGGCGGGAGACGCCGTCGCTCCACTCGCTGCGCCGCCGGCGCCACCGACGGTCCTACGCGGCAACAGAGAGAGTTACCGCAGCGGCTGCTCGACGCGTGCGGCCTGGGCCTGCCAGGGGCTAAGGTTTAATAGTACTAGTCGCAAACCCGTGCGACGCACGGGCTAGTTGTCATATACTTTCTTTGTTCCAAAATAAGTTAACTGCTTTTAGTTCATTTTGCAATGGTGAGAGTATTATTTTGCTGTCTACATTGACCATATAATGATTTGTGATTTTGCAGTGATGTGTGTGTACTCATATAGCTTTGGAGACATGGGAGTTCATATATAGGAGAATTTCGGATGGTAAAACAAATGAAATTAGTATAAATAATGTTCCCAAACTCATGAGTCTTGTGAGAACTTAGTATCAAAATATTGTTCTGAGGGTCATCGTTTAAAGAATTTTGAAAATGGTTGAAGCAGTTATGCGTTCACAATTCCCCTAGAAGTATGCTTGTTGGCCATATTTGGGAAGCTGTAGAGCTACCAAATACCCTGATAATATTTACATAAACAAAGGGATGTGATGTTTTCTACATGTAACTGCCTCAAAATATGGTTTAACAACATAAAGTATGTTAAACAAATTTACTTTTTGCTAAAAGGTTTTTATGTCTATGCTATTGTATGCTGAAAGATATACGATGTTGCATCTTTGCGACTCCAAATATAACATAGTAATATTTTGTGCAACATCTGAATGTCAATGGATGGCGCAGTCCGAAGCATACTAACAACCTTCTCTCATTCTGGTTATATTATGTTTGGTTCAATGATAATACTATCACTCAATATTTATAGAAAATAGTTTCACAACATCATATTTGATTACAATGATTTATTAGCATATGATATGAAAATCAAAACTCAAAGTAAAATGTTACTATCGTGCTATGTCCAAATTGTCTTAAATTTAAAAAATAGGGAGTAATTGACTTAGCTAAAATCTCATGTATGTATAGTACATGAAAGATTATATTTATTTCATTACGTCTATACCTATAATTGGGAAAATAGTAGCTGACCCCAGCTCGATGCACCCACGCTACACTCACAAAAGATAACATATAAAAACATTTAGAAAAATCTAAAACTTTCTGGAAGAGATTGCGAACAAATGAAATAGATGCTTGCAAAGACTGGTGGTCAAATGACCTCCAAGGAGCTCTGTACAAAATAAGATAAAATTACAAATTGTGCGCAAACATACATTTTCAGTAATTTTGTTTTTTTTCTGCAGATCTCCTCGGAAGTCATTTGACCACCAAACTTTGCAAGCATCTGTAACATTTGTTCATAATCATTCTCACAAAGTTATAGATTTTTTTAAATATTTTTCTATGTTTTCTTGCGTGGGTGCACCAAGTTGGGGTGTAGAATCTACTCTCATACTAATTAGCCTGGTTGAAATTCTCCAAAGTATATAAGTACAGAATTGGTATATGCCCATTTTCCTTCAAAAAATGGAACATTCCCATTTTTTGGGAAAATAAAAAATAATTAATTCATTAGTTCCATAAACCTATACCGAATAAAAGCGGAGAATTTTACAATTGTTCCGACAGTACTTAAAGAGTATAAGAATGTACCAGAATCAACAATTCAACATGTACATTGTTAGAAAATGAATACTTTCACTAGTAGAAAAGGGGCCTATTGTCCCGGTTGGTGAGGGCCTTTAGTCCCGGTTCATGAACCGGGACTAAAGGGTCGGTACTAATGCCTTGGCCCTTTAGTCCCGGTTCAATCCAGAACCGGGACTAAAGGGCGCGGCCACGTGGAGCTCCACCTTTAGTCCCGGTTGGTAACACCAACCGGGACTAAAGGAAATTTTATGATTTTTTTTGAAAAAAAAATTTGAATTTTTTTTTGAATTTTTTTTTATTTTCAAATTCTGAATTATTTTAACCTCTAGTCTGTAATCACCACCCCTCATCACTTCTCAATTTATCCTCTAATCACCCCTCATCATTCCAAATCATCTAACTTCCCGAACGGTCACCCATCCTCCCACTCCCCCAGCCTGAGCACTCTCAACTTCCGGATTCTATTCTCCCTCGCTCCAAGTCTGCACTTGTTGTTTTCCTGACAATAGTAAGATGTCAATCCTATTAACCTTCAGGAATTTTGCTTGAGCATGAAGTGACACATTTCACTGTTTGAGTTTGAAACTATTGTTTTAAAAAACAATAATTATTTAGTAACACTAATATTTCTTGAATAATTAGTTTGACCATAGTTTGACCACAGTTTGACCATAGTTTGACCATATTTGACCAAAATTGAAATAACTGAAATAATTATTTAGTAACACTAATATTCTAGAATAATTAGTTTGACCATAGTTTGACCATAGTTTGCCCACTGTTTGAATTTTTTTCGATTTATTCCACTCTAGATCTTAAAAGCCCCGTAACTTTTTTTCTGTTAGGTTTTTGAGGATTTTGAAAATGTTTAACGGGGTTCCCCCGATTAAATTCGGATGTAACTTTTCGAGTAGATGATTTTTCATATAAAAAACTTTTTCATCCGAGTTAGTATGCAAAAGTTATGCCCATTTTTACAAATTTCAGAGAGATTTTGCAAATAAAGTGAAAATTCACATTTGCAAATTTTCCCAACAACTAGACCACATATCACATGGGAAACTTTTTTTATTTTATTTTTTTGATGACATTTCCATCATTTTCTTTTGTTTTTTCTAAAACTGAAAAGGCGGTCCAGGGGGGGGGGAATTTGAAAATTGCACCATTAGTACCGGTTCGTGGCACGAACCGGTACTAATGGGCATCGCACCCTTTAGTACCGGTTCGTGCCACGAACCGGGACTAAAGGTCCCATTTCAACCGGGAGTAATGCCTTTCCGACGCCCTCGCTGCTCGAACCGGGACTAATGCTCACATTAGTCCCGGTTCGTAACGAAACCAGGATCAATGCCTTTTCTGGCCTGAACCGTTGCCCCCTTTTCTACTAGTGTTTATAAATACTAATACTGGTAGAAAAACATCATGATCGAGCAAACATATCGCAACCGTTACACAATGTATCGGCACCAATTTGACCTGAAATAGTATCGTAAGAAGAAAACAATTTAGATGTTGATGATCTATATATATGACCAGAATGAAAAATTATGACATTTTAATCTCTTCAGAATTCTAAGGTTGCAGTTTGGACCAAGATAATGCATTGATAGCCAGAAAAGGTTCCACTAAGCCAGGAGAATGGAGATATTTAGAGATCTCAAAAACATTCGCCATGCAACGCACTACTATAGGAAAATATATAGTTATACTATAATGGAAATAGTGAGACACGAATAATCTCTATTACATGAGCTGCTCATTATCCATGTATAAAATTTGCAACTAATTGCATTCAGTTAACAAAAAAAATTTATTTGAAGATGTAATGCAAACAGAATGTCATTTATTCTAAATATCCAAACCATAGTGCAGTAACACAAACCTCTGGATGGTCGAGCAGTTTAATGTGTGCGGGTATCTTTGGTGCCAGATGCTAATCAAAGTAGCTCCCAAATTTTAGAACCCAACCAATGCCATGGATACGAAGCAAGCACAAAGCTAAAGCAACTTCTTGTATTTATGTCAGGTAACAATCTTGTAAAGACCACTTCAAGAAAAATCAGTCACTCAATGATTAGCATAGTAGGGTACTCCATCATTGCCAATGGACACGGCGGCACCCAAGCAGCAGAGATAACCCAACGGCTGGGAGGCTTTACGTAAGATGAAAATCTTGAAGAATAGTCAGTCACTGGATGATCCGATGGGCAGGGCATTTAATTATTGCTAATCGAGATAACTCCATCAGAAGGGGCAGAGATTATCTGGACTCTATAGAGGCTTGGTGCAGAAAGCATGGCACCATGCCACAATTGCAGCGGGCCTATGGCTAGGAGGGGGACCTGCAGAAGAGGCAGGCATGAGAGCTTGCATGAATGCAAGCATATGCTACACGTACACCCAGAAGTGCAGTATCAGCGATGTAATAGCCATTGCCTATGACAGACATAACATCAGTTAATTTGTTGCATGTATATGATGCAATGCGAATATTCTCTGATATTAACAGTAGGAACTTACGTGGCAATGTGGGGTTCCCAATCCTTGCTTGTCTTTACCTTCTGAAGTCCATGTAATCAGTCTAGTTCCTTTGCTCTCATCATTTTTTTTTGGAATCCAGTCATTTACATGACAGATGACAACTACATGTGACTCTGACC